AGCAAAACACAAGGATGTCCTCTCTGTTCCTTACTGCTTGCATTAGCTGTGGAACCACTTGCCATCAAGTTAAATCAGAACACCTATCTTAAGAGAAGTATACATACAAAATTGTAGATATCTATTAAATCTATTTGCCAACAATTTCGTAAATGAGAGATTGTTCTGCCCCCATGCTGTCTAACTGCTTGGAAGATGAACTAGTTACACAGGGAACAAATGAAGCATGTGTAGACAAGCAATCAACAAGGATTTAATAACTGATAAAGGCTTCAACCTCTTTCTCCTCCCGACACAATCCTCAGAAGATAAAGTTCTTGAGAGAGAGGATCTAAATTACTTAACTTCTCTGATGTTCTTGCTATAATAATAATCATCATCATCATCATCATCATCATCTTTATTTATATTCCGCACTATCTCCCCGGAGGGACTCAGGGCGGATATATTGTTGGTATTTGTCTGGAGTCATTCTGATATTTGACTTAACTTCGTAATAACTCTGACTTGACTCCATCTGTGATGTGCTGTTTTGTGGATCTTCCTAGCCTTCCTCTCTTCTCACCTTCCACTTGTAAAATGGCTGATGCACCAAGGAACAAGAAAGGTTTTGCCTGAGGCTCTGCCCTTGGGAAGATTCTTAAAAGGGCAGGGAGGGGTGCCTTAAAGGAAAAGAGGCTATCTACACTGTCCCCCTCCAGCAAAGGATCACCGCCTTGTCGGGGCGCTGGAGCTTGAGCACCTCAATGATGTCATGAGCGAAACCGTGAAGGGCCACCCAAGACGGGACGGTTGTGACAGAGAGGTCAGACCAAGCGTGATCCCTGGGGAAGGCAATGGCAAACCACTCCAGTATCCTTGCCAAGAAAACTAAATGGACCAGTACAACCAGAGATATGTCGGTATGCCATTGGAAGATGGGACTCCCAGGTCGGAAGATGGCCAAAATGCTACTGGGGAGGAGCAGAGGATAAGTTCAACTAGCCCCAGATGTGATGACGCAGCTAGCTCAAAGCCGAAAGGAAGGCTAGCGGCTGACGGTACTGGAGGTGAACGACGAATCCGATGCTCTAAAGATCAACACACCATAGGAACCTGGAATGTAAGATCTATGAGCCAGGGCAAATTGGATGTTGTTATTGGCGAGATGTCAAGACCAAAGATAGACATTCTGGGGGTCAGCGAACTGAAGTGGACTGGAATGGGCCACTTCACATCAGATGACCACCAGATCTACTACTGCGGACAAGAGGAACATCGAAGAAATGGAGTAGCCTTCATAATTAATAAGAAATTCGCTAAAGCGGTGCTTGGATACAACCCAAAAAATGACAGAACGATCTCAATTCGAGTGCAAGGAAAGCCTTTCAACATTACAGTGATCCAAATATACGCCCCAACCACAGCTGCTGAAGAAGCAGAAGTAGATCAGTTCTATGAGGATCTGCAGGACCTACTGGATAATACACCAAAAAGAGACATTATTTTCATTACAGGAGACTGGAATGCCAAGGTGGGAAGTCAAATGACAACTGGGATCACAGGCAAGCATGGTCTAGGAGAACAAAATGAAGCGGGACGCAGGCTGATAGAATTTTGCCAGGAAAACTCGCTGTGTATAACGAATACTCTCTTCCAACAACCTAAAAGACGGCTTTATACATGGACCTCACCAGATGGTCAACACCGAAATCAGATTGACTACATCCTTTGCAGCCAAAGGTGGCGGACATCCATCCAGTCGGTGAAAACAAGACCTGGGGCTGACTGTAGCTCAGATCACGAACTTCTTATTGCCAATTTAGAATAAAACTAAAGAGATCAGGGAAAATACACAGACCAGTTAGATATGATATCACTAACATTCCTAGCGAATATACAGTGGAAGTGAAGAACAGATTTGAAGGACTAGATTTAGTAAACAGAGTCCCAGAAGAACTATGGACAGAAGTCCGCGACATTGTTCAGGAGGCGGCAACAAAGTACGTCCAAAAGAAAAAGAAAACCAAGAAGGCAAAATGGTTGTCTGCTGAGACACTGGAAGTAGCCCAAGAAAGGAGGAAAGAAAAAGGAAACAGGGATAAGGGGAGATATGCCCAGTTAAATGCGCAATTCCAGAGGTTAGCCAGAAGAGATAAGGAACTATTTTTAAATAAGCAATGCATGGAAGTAGAAGAAGACAACAGAATAGGAAGGACAAGAGACCTCTTCCAGAAAATTAGAAACATTGGAGGTAAATTTCAGGCAAAAATTGGTATGATAAGAAACAAAGATGGCAGGGACCTAACAGAAGCTGAAGAGATCAAGAGAAGGTGGCGAGATTATACAGGAGATCTGTATAGGAAGGAGGGACCTAACAGAAGCTGAAGAGATCAAGAGGAGGTGGCGAGACTATACAGAAGATCTGTATAGGAAGGATAATAATATTGAGGATAGTTTTGACGGTGTGGTGAGTGAATTAGAACCAGACATCCTGAGGAGTGAGGTTGAATGGGACTTAAGAAGCATTGCTAACAACAAGGCAGCAGGAGACGGGATCCCAGCTGAACTGTTTAAAATCTTAAAAGATGATGCTGTCAAGGTGATGCATGCCATTTGCCAGCAAATATGGAAAACACAAGAATGGCCATCAGACTGGAAAAAATCAACTTATATCCCCATACCAAAAAAGGGAAATGCGAAAGACTGCTCCAACTTCCGTACAGTGGCCCTTATTTCTCATGCCAGTAAGGTAATGCTCAAGATCCTGCAAGGAAGACTCCAGCAATACATGGAGCGAGAGTTGTCAGATGTTCAAGCTGGGTTTAGAAAAGGTAGAGGAACGAGAGACCAAATTGCCAATATCCGCTGGATAATGGAGAAAGGCAGGGAGTTTCAGAAAAACATCTACTTCTGCTTCATTGACTATTCTAAAGCCTTTGACTGTGTGGATCATAATAAATTGTGGCAAGTTCTTAGTGGGATGGGCATCCCAAGCCACCTTGTCTCTCTCCTGAGGAATCTGTACAAGGACCAAGTAGCAACAGTCAGAACTGCCCACGGAACAACAGACTGGTTCAAGATTGGGAAAGGCGTACGGCAAGGCTGCATCCTCTCACCCAACCTTTTTAACTTGTATGCAGAACACATCATGCGATGTGCGGGGCTGGATGAATGCAAAGCTGGGGTGAAAATTGCTGGAAGAAACATTAACAACCTCAGATATGCAGATGACACCACTCTGATGGCCGAAAGCGAGGAGGAGCTGAGGAGCCTTCTAATCAAGGTGAAAGAAGAAAGCGCAAAAGCGGGTTGCAGCTAAACGTCAAAAAAACCAAGATTATGGCAACAAGAATTATTGACAACTGGAAAATAGAGGGAGAAACCGTGGAGGCCGTGACAGACTTTGTATTTCTAGGTGCAAAGATTACTGCAGATGCAGACTGTAGCCAGGAAATCAGAAGACGCTTACTTCTTGGGAGGAGAGCAATGTCCAGTCTCGATAAAATAGTAAAGAGTAGAGACATCAGACTGGCAACAAAGATCCGCCTAGTCAAAGCCATGGTATTCCCTGTAGTCACCTACGGATGTGAGAGCTGGACCTTAGGGAAGGCTGAGCGAAGGAAGAGAGATGCTTTTGAACTGTGGTGCTGGAGGAAAGTGCTGAGAGTGCCTTGAACTGCGAGAAGATCCAACCAGTCCATCCTCCAGGAAATAAAGCCCGACTGCTCATGGAGGGAAAGATACTAGAGACAAAGTTGAAGTACTTTGGCCACATCATGAGGAGACAGGAAAGCCTAGAGAAGACAATTATGCTGGGGAAAGTGGAAGGCAAAAGGAAGAGGGGCCGACCAAGGGCAAGAAGGATGGATGGCATCCTTGAAGTGACTGGACTGACCGTGAGGGAGCTGGGGGTGGTAACGGCCGACAGGGAGCTCTGGCGTGGGCTGGTCCATGAGGTCACGAAGAGTCGGAGACGACTGAACGAATGAACAACAACAACACTGTCCCCCCACAAAACTACACACAAAATGCTAATTCCCTCTAACTAAAAAGGGACTGAAATAGGGGAAACAATGAAGATGCTCACAGAGGAATGACAAGGGATTGTAGTATTATATCAAGGATACTAATCAAATTGACAAGTCAGAAACTGGGCAACCGTCCCATGCCTGTGCACCCCAATCCTCGGAAGATAGATAAAGGAAACAGCATTGTCTTCTTTGTAAAATATATAAAAGTAGCTTTGTTTACAATTAGTTTTTCATAATCAGATGGTCCAGGGGAGCGGGGGAAAAAAGAGTTTCTGGTTAGAATGATACAGGGAATTGGTGTGGAAAAACAAACAAGCAGGAAGTCAGCAAACATACAAACTAGCAATTAGTATAGGTATTCAAAGATTGCAGATTCTAATAATGTTGCCCTGGAGTCACAAGTGGCTGTGGTAAAATAGAAACCTTCTCTGAGAAAAGAAAGGAGACAAAGAGTTCCCGAGGAAATGACATTTGGGGCCTGTACGACATTCTTAACTGTGCAGATGAGAATGTCACAGAATGGCATGTAATTATAGATCTAGTTCTCTGTTTGGTGGTTCTCAGCCTGTGGGTCCCCAGGTGTTTTGGCCTACAACTCACAGCCAGTTTACCAGCCATTAGGATTTTTGGGAGTTGAAGGCCAAAACATCTGGGGATCCACAGGTTGAGAACCACTCCAGGTCCTGTTGCAGTCCTACTACATGAGGGTTAAATTGTTTATTTATTTGACTATTTCCTTCATGCTCTCTGCTTTTCCCCTTCCAATTAAATATATCAAACATTTTTGTTTCTAAGTTCACAGACACCCCTGGGAGACTCTCAAATGCAAACTTAAACCAACTTACCAACTTAAACCAACTTACCATTAAAGTGAGGGTGGTGGACATAAGTCCTTTAATGGTGACTTGGACATCTGTGATGTGCTCTCCTCCCCAACGAAAAGGACATTCCAGATGTCCAAGTCACCATTGAAGGACTCCGTACTCCAGTGGCCTCTTTCACATGAAGCTGATTCTCAGCAAAGACTTCCCAGCTAGCCCCCCAAAGGGCTATTTTCTGACCAAAATCTTCCACCTCAATGTGGGCGCCAATGACGAGATCTACATCAATGTCCTCAAGAAGGATTGGAAAGCAGAACTGGGCATCAGACATGTCCTGCTGACCATCAAGTGTTTGCTCATCCATCCCAATCCAGAATCGGCACTGAACGAGGAAGCAGGCTGCCTCCTGCTTGAGAACTATGAGGAATATGCCTCCCAGGCTCGTCTCCTGACAGAGATCCATGTCCAGCCTTTGTTTGGACTGCATACCAAAGACCCACCTGAGCCTTGTTCTTACTCGGCTGGTGCTTCTGGGGAGAGCCCCATGGGCAAGAAACATGCAGGTGACAGGGACAAGAAACTAGCCTCCAAGAAAAAGACTGACAAGAAACAAGCCCTCCAGGGGCTTTAAGGACCAAGGAGCAGGGTAGTGGGGAGTCTGGCACACGGGATGGATAGTGGGCATTGGGGTTCCACAGTCCATTCTCAGTTCCTCCTCTTTTTCCTCTTCCACCTTTTCCACTTTGAGTCTGCAGTCCAACTCTATCTCACATTTGTCAGGTTTTTCTTCTTTTCAGTCTTTAAGTTATTTAAATTATAAAAGCAGAAAAATCTTATTAAATGCCTTTTTTGTTTTGTTTTTTCACCAAAAAACTAATTTTAAAAACCCAACTTACCATCTGAGAGAGATTAATCTAAACATCTGCAGTCTCTATACATTTTGCTACCCCTAAAGTGTGAACATCATCTACTTCCTCTTTTTGCCATCTTGTCTCATAAATATTTCTGGATAAGCCAAAAGCTTGCACTTTATTATGTGAGTATTGAGTTGGTCTTATAATGTTGATATTTCTTTAATACTAGTTTTGGCATATGAAAACGGAAGTACATAATGGGTTTTAGTCACCTTTCCTCTTTCTTAGTCTTCCTCTTTCCTTCTATGAAAGATTTGACTATTTTATGCTGAAATAACCTCTAGATAAGAACTACTACTCCATCATTCCTCACTGTTGAATACAGCTGATTAGAGCTACTAGGAGTTGCAGTCCAAAACCAGCTGGAGAGCGACATGAATCCTGTTCCTATGGCAGTGGCAACAATTGTGATCTAAATGTGCATAAGTTGAGAAATTCAGGGAACAAGTTGCATAAACACATTATTATTACACTGGCAAAATTCCAAACTTCCATGGGCTGTAATGCAGTAATTCTACTTCTTCCATCACATAGCAGAGAGTTTGTCCTACATATGGATTGCGGAATTTTTCAAGCCCATTTTACCCTTTGTATTAAAGATTTAAAAGAGTCATATCACTTAAAACCACATCTTCAGACTTCAGCAATATTTTAAAAGTAGCATAGGAAAGTTTAAAAAAAAGAGTGGGTGTCATTGCCACCTATTGCTATTGTGAATGAGAAACTTTACTTGTGTTGTACACCGAGGACGAGAATTGTGCAATTCTTTGGATGTTGTCAAACTGCAACTCCCAGCATTCCTCACTATTGACTATGCTGGAAGTCTGGCAAAATAAGGGTCTAGCCTAGAGCTTGAAAAGGTTACTTTTTTTGAACACACCCACCCAAGGTAGCCCTGCCCCATTAGGCAGACTGGCTTAGCACCCCATATGTGAAATTTGCTCTTCTAAATGTGAATGATAGATGAATAGCTAAAAGCCTTTTATAATTTTAACCAATGCAGCCTATGCCTTGACAAACCTTGTCGTAATTGTAATGTAATTTAAGGTGCGCCAATTTTCTGACATTAAATCTTTCATGTCATGAACTACTTTTGGCAAGAGAACTTAACGCTGCAGGAAAAAAATGTGCACAGTTGTGCTTTGTTTGGTAATTTCCAAACATCTGGACACCTGTTTTGAATTTACAAAATTGGATTGGGTTCAGCTCATCCTGAAGGCAGAGAAATTATCATCTGCATCCAGCTATGATAAATTGACTAAATAATAATGTATGAAGAACTGCAGATGTTTTCTTTCCAAGAGAGGTAAAGAAATGGTTGCTAGTAATTGGATTATCGACAAACTCAATTTACTGCTATTTTCAGATGTGAATTTTAATTGTTTGGTAGTTAAGCCTAGTTTCCTTGTAAAATTATGGCAGATTTTCATTAAACGGGTGAGGCTCATATACAAATGAGTGGTTTTTCATACAATAAACAGTGTGAAATTGTGGAGCATAATGGTAAATCAGAAGGATCCAGTTAATCCCACACTCACTTCAGAATCCCTTGATTTTTTTAAAGAAACAAGATTTAGAACAAGATTTAACATATATCATAGAACAGTCGTTCTCAACTTTCCTAATGCCGCGACCCCTTAATACAGTTCTTCATGTTGATTTGACCCCCAAACATAACATTATTTTCGTTGCTACTTCTTACCTGTTATTTCGCTACTGTTATGAATTGTAATGTAAATATCTGATATGCAGGATATATTTTCATTCACTGGACTAAATTTGGCACAAATAACCAATACACCCGCTTTTGAATATGGTGGGTTGGGGGGGGGGTTGATTTTGTTATTTGGGAGTTGTAGTTGCTGGAATTTATAGTTTGCCTATAATCAACAGCATTCTGAACTCCACCAACAGTGGAATTGAACCAATCTTGGCACACAGAACTCCCATGACGAACAGAAAATACTGGAAAGTTTTGGTGGGCATTGACCTTGGAATTGTAGTTCAACTACATCCAGAGAGCACTGTGGACTCAAACAATAATGGATCTGGGCCAAACTTGGCACAAATACTCAATATGCCCAAATGTGGGCACTGGTGGAGTTTGCAGAAAATAGACCTTGACATTTGGGAGTTATGGTTGCTGGGATTTATAGTTCACCCACAATGAAAGAGCATTCTGAACCCCACCAATGATAGAATTGGGCCAAACTTCCCACATGGAACCCCCATGGCCAACACAAAATATTGTGTTTTCTGATGGTCTTTGGTGACCCCTCTGACATCCCCCAGGGGTCCCGACCCCCAAGTTGAGAAACACTGCCACAGAACATCCCAGGCATATATCTGTATTCCCCCGGGCAGTTACAGAATGCTGTTCCTTTATGACTGAATAATTAATAATCTTTAACACTAGGAACAAAGGGACAGAGCGGTCAAATATATTTAATTAGTATTTATTTATTACTATTTATCTTTGGTACATGTGCTTAGGGAAGCATAGGACACAGAAAGTTTGCATTCTTGAAGCAAAAAATGAGTTTGATCTGATATTACATACTGCGTATATTTCAGATTTCCTTGTTAGGCTGTTAGGAATTGTGAGAGTTGAAGTCCAAAACACCTGAAGGGCCAAAGTTTGCCCATGCCTGGGGTAGACCGCATGGATCCAGAAAGGGTTGTTATAGTCACTTACGGATCCACCGCCAAGACTCTACTTCTGGAAAACAATCATACTGGGCTCACCTATGATGATGATGATGATGTTAATCCAGGGTTTTTGGCTTGATGTTTTGACAAAATTTCTAAACTGGTGCATGAATATATCGGTATGCCCTGACAACACTCCTCCTCCATTCCTATTTATACCACACTTAGAATAATACAAACATAGGCAGCTGTAATGTTGATGTGCTACAGTTCAAAAAAGAGACAGAAAGAAAATTGCCCTTTAGCAAAATATCACACATGAATGATGTCATTCACACATATTCCAGACAGTCCCAATGCCTGTGATTTTCAGATATATGAAACTATTCTTTAAAAGCCAGAGGATTTCATCATTTCACAAGTATACACCTGATAAACATAGTCATCTTATTTCTTTCTCTTCTGTTAGATTGTATCCTAATCTGCATTGTTTTTGTTGTTATTTGGTATCATGTTGTTGTTGTTGTTATCGTCACATCATTGTTGCCATAAGCAAAAAATAATAATACTGACTTAATCAACTTTCACTACAATTATAGGATAGTATTTGTAGTAATAAACGGAGTAAATGCTGATGTCTCATCCACAAAAGGATGATATTGATGATGCCACAAGATTGAAGCGATACTCCTTCACCATCAACTCCGCTGGACTGGCCATGTTGTCCGAATGCCCAATCATTGTCTCCCAAAGCAGTTACTATACTTCCAACTCAAAAATAGGAAATGTCATGTTTGTGGACAGGAAAAGAGATTTAAAGATGGGCTTAAAGCGAACCTTAAAAATTGTGGCATGGACATCGAGAACTGAGAAGCCCTGACCCGTGAGTGCTCGAACTGGAGGTCAGCTGTGACCAGCAGTGCTGCAGTATTCAAAGAGGCACAAATGGAGGGAGAAAGGGAGAAATGTGCCAAGAGGAAGGCACATCAAGCCAACTCTGACTGGGATTGCTTTCCGCCTGTAAACCGATGCCCTCACTGTGGGAAAACATGCGGATCAAGAATAGGGCTCCAAGGCCACCTACTGACCCACCGCCAAGACACCACATCTGGAAGACCATAATCCTTGAGCTACGAGGGATCACCTAAGTAAGTAAGTAAGGAAGTAAGTGAGATATTGATGATGACTATGAATATTTGCAGCACTCCAAACTCAGCAGCACTGACTTCATTTTTACCAGTAATCTTTTCTCTTTTGGTACTCAAGGCAGCTTACATAGAGGCAGTTATTCAATGCCTTAAAACACATACAATTCCAGAAAATTAAAATTAGATTAGATTAAAATTTAAAACATATTAAACATTTTAAATCATTACATTCCATATTAAAATCACGCCATCCATAGTCGTAATCCAAGCCATTCCATAGTCATTCCATATATTCCACATCTGTTAATTGCACTGCACTATTTTAGTGGAAACAACAGGTTCCCACATTTCTATAATATTCCTGTGATGTTTGATGGTAATAAAATTCTACAGTAATATAAGCTCTTTTCTGACAGTGTAACCACATATTTAAAAGGATTCATATCAAAGAAGCCAGAATACAGAACTTCCAAAGTCGTCTTATGTATCTGCTCTTATTTCCCCCCAGCTTCTAGATATTCAAAGGGGTCTTTGTTTTCTGATTTCTCCCTTCTAATTCTTTGTTCTAAGTTCCCTTTGTTGTTTTTGCAATGATTTTTCTTCTACCTTGCAAGATGCTTCATGATCCTTACTTGAAAGTTAGTATGTTAAGATAATAATAATCAATTTAATTATAAAACAGCCTTTGACTTTCATACTTTTTTATAATGCGGTTGGAAACAGCATAATTGTTGTTTTCATTTCAGGAACTGATTTTAATGGTTGTTGTATGAAGAGTTGTCATGCCAGTTCTTGGAGGTGCCTTGAACATTTTTAGCTGCTTCTTTCTACAGTCTTAGAAAGGTTTGATGTTCTTGACATTGTCCCTGGAAAAACAAATCCAAAAGTGTCCCTTCCAGATATCCTGGACTACTGCCACC